CCACGTGTTACACTCTGTTCTGGCAGCTTCCAGAGCAGAGCTGAGCAGCTGGTGTAGAGACCACATGGCCTGCCAGCCGGGAATGTCCTCTGTAGGGCTCGCTGACCCCGAGCCTGGGCACAGAGGCACATGCGCAACATAAACAGCCCCTTGCTATGCTTCTGGTGGATAAACTAAGAATAGCTTCTATGCTTCCCAGTAAGAAAGTGGAGTAACGTTTTCATACTTGGCTGAAAGTTTAAAATTAGAAGCTTAAATTCCTTAGATTTGAATCATCGCCATGTACTTTCCTAACGAGAACAGGCTGAGCAATCTGAGCAGATCTGTCCATGGGCCTAAGACTGACCAGAACACTTGGATGGGCTTCAGTCTTTCCTTTTCAATAATGTTCTGAGAAATTTTAAAGTAATATATACATGCTCACTCTTAAAAATAAGGACATTAGAAAAAGGTGAATTTTTTTAAAAAAGTACATACTCCAAAATACGCTCTTAAATATGTTATACACGACAGACCTCGGCCAGGGTCATAATCTCAAATTTCTACTCAGTTACTTATCAGCACAATCCATCCTCCCCGCAAAATAACTCTCCCACGTGAACAATTCCACCACAGACCAGGAACACGGGCCCTGAATTCCCTGTCTGGGGTCATCTTGCTGAGCTGGTCCTTCTCTTTCGTCACCTGAATGTTTTCATCTCCACTTCCCAGAGGCCTCGGACAGCGTTTCTTACCCTGGGAGCTTTTAAAAATACTGATACTAGAACAACCGCGTCAGAATCACTGGAGGTCGGCCCGGCCCAGGTCCTGGAATTGAATGAAACCTCCTCCAGTTAATCCCAGCGTGAGGCCGGGACTGCAAACCACCATCCTAGGGGAATGGTTCTCAGGGAAGATGTGAGGACCACCGGCGAGCTTTGTGAAAACGGAGACAATAAAAGCGCACAGGGCTGGTCCTTCCGGATTGTTTCAGCGGGTTCAGGGTGGGGCCGGGACACTGGCCTCAGAGAACATTTCCTGGTGGACTCTAATGGAGCCCCTGGTTAAGGACGTGACTCCAGGGGCTCTGCAGAGCTGCTGTGGGGGAGACGGGGGAGGCAGTCATAGAACAGCACATTATTTACATTTAAATGTCACATGTGTATTTATATAAAATCCCAAAAAGGACAACACCCACACAATTGCATATTATGGTTTTGAAAGATACCGTCAGATGCCAGAATTAAAGCCAGTAATAACATGGTATAGCAAGAGCAAAAAGCACAGCGCATACCTAACAAACCGTACCGCAGGTGCGCAAAGAAGTCACTCGGCAGCGTCCTGTCCTGTATTTCCTTCACGAGCTTGCGGGCTGTGTCGGGCGGGTCTCCGGTGCCCGTGGTCGACACCACCACCACAAGGGGCGCTGTTTCGGTTTTCAGATCATACTAAAAAACAAGGATGTCATGTCAGGGGCCTACTGCTGCGTGTAGTTTTGACTTAACGCAATCAGCTTAGTTTCCTGTGTCTGGAACCAATCAGGACTGCGTATGGACGACGGCAGACAGGTACCCAGAGCACTGTCACGCAGGGAAAGGAAAGCGAAGCTCTGCAGCTACCAGAGAACCGGGCTATCGCGCCCTCGGGGTTCCAGGGAGCTGAGAACATCATCAGTTTAGCTCACATCATTAGTGTTTCCAAGTCTCAGACATCAAACTTCTCCATTCTAATTTTCACCTATATTTAAATATTTCAAATAGAACACGTCACTGTCTCTATTTATGAGTCCATGGGCTCTACTGCACGAATATAATCTAATTTGACTCAAAGGAACTCACTTTATTTTTCAAGCTGATATAAGGATTTGAGCTAACATTTTACCAGGCAATTCAACACTTACACAACAGTACACAAGTTGTGTATTAAACTCTATGACTATCCAGTTTGTCAGTCACCTCACCTTGAAAAGGACTTCTATGACCTAGGAAATGAAAGCTATCTGTTTAAACTTGGATGAGGAAGAACTGGAGAAACCCTTCAGCTGAGGAGAGCAAACAAGTGAGTGACGTGGTGTTGAAAACCATTAACTACTCACCTAACTATTAGGTAGCTGCTGACCTAGGTGGCGAGGTGACCCAAGGGGCCCAGTCAGGGCTAGTTATATAATGACCTTGGTTCTGTTTGTAGTAACAGACTCAGACTGTATTCCATCACGTGGTAACTACAATGCAAATTTCCTTTAAAGTTACTGCAGAATTACAGAGCCAGCCAACTGGTGGTCCCCTCCAGGACGCCCCCCGTCGGTGAGGGACCACATTAGGTGTCACTGGGCCTTGCAGCACAAAGGAACTGGGTGATTCTCCTATGAGCTGAGTTTATAATTCACCTGTGCTGCTGATAGTCTAATCTTTTGAACTAGAGATGTGAGAAAGGCCAGAGGAGAATATGAACTTGAATGAGTGTGCTGGCAGAGTAGTTTTTGAAGTAGTTTTTGAACTGAATTTGACTGCTTGGTGACTGGCACATCTTCCTGTGCTTGTATGAAAGCCCCTGCTAGTTGCTATGGCCTGATTTGTATAAAACGGTACAATCTGGAGGTCTCAACCAGGCTAACTGTAAGAGGAACAGAGAGCTGTTAAGATCTTATGTATCCAAGGTAAGAACGTTTGCAGAGATTAAATGTCAAAACAAGCAGTCCCTGACCTAACGAAGCTGATCCTTATACTTCTTAAAATTCTATTTCACTGGAGAACTCGACATGAACGGCAAGGTCTTTATTTTGGGGAA